TCGCTCGGCTGCTCCACCCAAACCCCGCCCGCCAACCCTCCTTGAGAGCACCCGCCCCGCTCGCCTTGTGCTACGCGCCATACGCCACGCGCCATACGCCCCGCCACGCCGTCCACGCAGTCACACGCGCGTGACCACACACACACCACCCATGACACGCGCAAAGCCGTCCCTACATCAGGCCACACACTCCTTTACATCCACACACATGCACGTGCAACCTCGCATGGAAACAAACATGCGTACGCGTGAAAACACAAACACACACACACACACGCGCGCGCACGCTCACCAGCCTCCTGCAGGTCCCCCATCTTCAGCGCGCTGCTCATGACCCTGGTGGTGACGCCGTCCATAATCAGCACCTTCCAGCCCGCCCCCAGGGGGTCGACTACACTGCCCAGCATCTCCCCCAGCAGACGGTCGCGCACAGGTTTGCGGTAGCCGTCTGGATGGGGGGGATGTGTTGCGCTGCGTGAGAGCGTTCACGTGCGTGTGTGTGTGGGAGGGGGGGAAGGCGCACGCGCGCGCGCGTGTGTGTGTGCGGGTAGGTCTGCAGCTGACCACCGCACAACATGGAGCTGCCAGGGGCCACACGGCAGCTGCTGCATTTCATGAGCCTGCGCATGCGCTCATGCATGCTAGCCGGCTTGGAAACGCGCATGTAGCCGCCCGCAACCGCATGACAGCTGCCGCTCCCGAGACGAACGTGTGCGGGGGAGGGCGTTCTAGCCTCAATCGGCGCCCGAACGGGTCGAAACAGGCACAGGCCCTAGACGCGGCTGCGCCTGCTGCCGCCCCTTGCCCTTTGCTGCGACGCACATGGGCGTGCGCCAACACCCCTGGGAGGCGTCGCCCTCGGGCGCTGCGCCGCCGCGTGAGTGGCCCACTCACCCGCCATGGTGCCTGCTGCTCGCGGTTTGCCCTCTGGCCGTCGCCAGTGAGCGGCCCGTCAAGTGGCTGCAGAGCGGCCTTCACCGGCAGCGGATGGGGCCGCCTGCGCCCGCCGGTGCAGCCGGGTGCAGCCCTGCAGTACTAGATCCCGCGCCTACGGTGGTACGCGCGGGGTTGGCCAGTCGCTTCACCGTACCGGCCAACTCGGCCTTGCCGCGGCCCCGCCCGTGCTGCAGCGGCGTGGTACGTCTGATGCAGCACGCGCACATGTTGGACACGTGCCGGCCGGTGTGATGCGAGCGTTCGTCTGTATTGTTTCAAATCTTTGCACCAGTCCGCACCTCGGGGCACCAGGTCCAGCTGCAACCTCCTTACAGTGCTAGATCGCTGCAATCCGCGATGAAACCCAACTTCCTGATTTTCGATCGCAAGCCCAATTGTGTACTTGTCCTTGGAAGCAGAAACGATCAAATAAGCAAGGGGATTGACAAAAATCCCAGCCTGGACAGCAGGGCGACAGCTGCCAACACGTGTGGTGCGGCATGCGGCTTTGAATTTGTCACCAAAATAAGATGGAGGCGGATGCGCATGCCAGGGAGCTCCACGAGGTGCGGCCAGATCCATCGATACTGCCCAGGAGCTCTGCAGCGGATGCACACGCGAGCAGGTGTATGTACAGGCGACCAGCTCTGCTGACACGCAGATCAGCCACGCAATCTCATTGCCTGCATCCACTGCCGGGCAGCGGCATAGGGGTCGAGCATGCACACGCGCACGCCGTCTGCGTTGCATCGCCTCGCGGGCACAGCGCCCCTCTCGCGCGCTTCCGCCGCGCATGCGCGAACTGTAGATCTACTCCTTCTTCAAAGTAGATCCTGACAGGGGTCTCAGCGCATACGATGTGCAGCAGGTGGGCATGGCTTGACACTCTTTGGGCTTCTCGGCTTGCTGGGCCAGGTCTTGGGCAGGAGGGGCAAGTGCCCCCCCGCCCTCCATGCGCCAAGCACTCCGCATGCAGCCAAGCAGAGCACGTGTTACGGCCGGGGCAGGCGTGCTGACGCTACAATCAGCTAGAGCCAGCCGGCTGCCTTGTCTCCCGCTGCTGCTGCTGCAGGCACGTGCGCGGTGGGGCCGGAACGAGCTGCCTCCAGATGAGGGTGAGGCTTTGACAGCAGAGGCGGCGGCGGCGGCGTGATTTATGGCGCGATGCATGGCACGGGCGCGGTCTGTTTCGCCCCGGCGAGCAGCAGGGCAGCGCGCGGGTTTGGGGTGTGTGTGGAGCGGTGGCTTGACCAGCACGGCAGCGGCAGGTATTCATGTGCTTATCGTGCACCGAGGCGGCCCATTGGGCGGCCAGCACTGCGCCAGCAGGCGCTGCACGAGCTGCGAAACTGTAGCAGCCGCGCCCACCAGCAGAACCTGGCGCGGACAGCCCAGCCCGCGGCCCCACGGTCAGCTCTTTCCCAGCTCGTGGCGCCCGCCGTACAACGCCTGCAGCTGTGTCCCTGCATCGCAGGCACCCCTCTTTGGAAGCTGATCCTGAAGCAGTTTGATGACCTGCTGGTGAAGGTGATCTAGAGTGATCTGGGTTGATCTGGCCCAAATCAGGCCCTTTTCAACCGACAAAATTCAGAAGAAGCGGGCGGCCTGCCGCTGCAGCTTGTGCAGGGGCACCTTCTCCCCCCTTTGTTTGCAAGCACATTTGCAATCAAGCACGCACATACACAAGCACACACAAGCACACGTGAAACGCGCCGCGCGACACTCTCACCGCTCAGATCCTCATCGTGGCGGCGGCGGTGGACTTCATCATTGGGTCCACCAGCGGAGAGTCCTTCCTCACGTGAGCCAGCGGGTGCATGACACGCCACAGCGCCGCTGCGTCAGCTGGAGCGCGAAGCCCCCGCCCACGCGCCGGGCCCTGTCTGCCCCGCTATCACGCCCCGCCGCGCTCGCGTGGACGCTGCCCCTGCCCACCCTCCTCCCCCCGTCCCTCGATCTTCCCGCGCTCCCTCTGCACAGCGCGATGGTGGAGCCGTTTGTCATCATCCTCATCCTCATCGCAAACGGTTGGCCTTTTCACGCTTCCCCGGGCACCACCCCACTGCCGACGCAATGCGCCGCTCGTACTGCCGCCCCGACCACTCGTCCATTCGCTACGCATCATCTGGAGCCCGCGAGGCTTGTGCACTCGTCGCTCATCGGCCAGGACAATCTTAATCACACCCCCAAATACGCCCTCATGTGCACACGCATGTTTTGTGTCTGCTCGCTGTGCCCGCAGCGACCGTGGGTGTTGTGACGGAGCGCAACGCTGAGAGGGCCATAGAGGAGCTGAAGGCTTATGAGGTGGGGGTGAGGGGGGATGGATGGAGGCGGTGCGCGCTAGATGTGTATGTGTGTGTGTGTGTGTGTGTGTGTGTGTGTGTGTGTGTGTGTGTGTGTGCACGTGTGTGCACACGCGAATGTGTAGCAAAGGGGCAGAGGTCCGGTGTGGCTGACAACCAGCCAATCGTCGTATCCCATTGGCGCGGTGGCAAGGACTTGCCTCCTGCAGGCCTCGCCGTGACTACGGGCCGACTGCTCTTGCTGTGCGACCCTGGCCTCTCGACTCAAGCCCCGACCTCCACCCCTCGTCCCCCACCCGCAAACACACCCTTACACCCCACCACAAAGGCCACGAGCGCAGCCGCATTACGCGACGGCCAGCTGCAGCAGGTAGCCGCGGCCGACCTGGTGCCCGGTGACGTCATCGAGGTGGCCGGTGAGCGGCGCCCCAGCCACCCCCACGCGCGTTACCCGGTCGCTGAAGCAGCCGGCGGAGGCTGCCGCGGGTGAATTTTGTGATATGGAGGGCACCCGCCGCCGCCGCTGCCGCCCCGGGTCTGGCGGTCTTGCTGGACGACCCAGGGCACCAGGGGCGGCGGAGAGACGGCCGGCAAGATCAAAACCGAACGGTCCTGCCCGGCGCCAGCACTCCCCTTCCCCCCACCGCCGCGGGGGCCTGTTCCCGCCGACCCAGCACGTGGCACCCCGCGAGCACCCCACTCGCGCCAAATCCGGGTGGCGAACGCTGCCCATCACCCCCCTCTCACAACCCTACCCCCAAAAAGTGGGCGACCAGATCCCGGCGGATGTGAGGGTGGCTGTGATGCTGTCAAATATCCTACGGGTCGACCAGGTGGGATGGGGAC